CCAGTGACAGGTCGCCACCGAACACGAGGTATGCGGGGGCGCACGTCCAGTCAGACAACAGGCCAGGGGACCAGGACACACACGTCGGATGACGTCACCAATGACCGCATCTGACACGGCTGCAGGCTGGGCCGGCCAGACGTCCGTGCAATCACCCCACACAACAGCCGACGCGCTCGTCATCTCAGCCGACAGTGCAAACCGCACTGTTTGTACTGTCGCCTAACATGGCCGTATGAAATGAACATACTGAGTTCAGCACAAACGGCCACAGGACAACCCACGCCACACTTAAAGGTTTTAAAACAGAAGTCGCACGCATGCGCACATGACACGGTTCCAGAAAATCCTGCCACTTCCACTGTACATAAGCCACTGTTGGCAGTGTTCACGGCCGAGTTTGCAGCAAGTTTGCACAAGCTGAGAAACTGAGTTTGCACAAACAAACAAAGTGAAGGACGCACCTTGCAAACTCTCATTTCCAAGGGCCGTTGGGTCTTCGGGTCCAGGTCACCCCTTTTCCACGCATGTTTGCTTGTAGCTGCCGAGATGATCGAAGACCAGGCGCGATGGAGATCCTCCGGGAATAGGTACATGCTGAGACACCGAGGACCCGGATGTCAGCCGCTGCCGCCAACACCGACCACAGCAGCACAGACACCGCAGACCCCCCGACGTCAGCCGCTGCCGCCAACACCGACCACAGCAGCACAGACACCGCAGACCCCCCGACGTCAGCCGCTGCCGCCAACACCGACCACAGCAGCACAGACACCGCAGACCACCCGTCGTCAGCCGCTGCCGCCAACACCGACCACAGCAGCACAGACACCGCAGACCCCCCGACGTCAGCCGCTGCCACCAACACCGACCACAGCAGCACAGACACCGCAGACCACCCGTCGTCAGCCGCTGCCACCAACACCGACCACAGCAGCACAGACACCGCAGACCCCCCGACGTCAGCCGCTGCCACCAACACCGACCACAGCAGCACAGACACCGCAGACCCCCCGACGTCAGCCGCTGCCACCAACACCGACCACAGCAGCACAGACACCGCAGACCCCCGACGTCAGCCGCTGCCGCCAACACCGACCACAGCAGCACACACTGCAACCCCCCCCCCCCCCCCCCCCTATGACGTCGTCCACTGCCGCCAACACCGACCACAGCAGCCCGGCTAAGATGCTTCCCATGGGGAAATGATTTCGCCTGCTTCCCAGCGACAAAAAACAAACCCGCATCTCAAGCAGGACTGGGCAATACACGCCGCGAATCTCGAAACAGATTAACAACTCATTCACCGCCACCGAGCGCTTATTCCGTTCGGAAACGCCCATCCGTTTTTCCCGTTGTGATGCCGCATGCTTGGCCTAGGCTACATCACAAAAACACGCACCAAGGTCCGTTTGAGACACGTAACGGCCCTCGCTCCAAGGCACACCTGTCCAGCACGACCCGACCCGACCCGACCCGACCCGACCGATCCCGGGTCCTGCCCGGCAGCGCCAGCGGTCCGGCGGTGGCTGACCTGTCCGCCAGGTCGACGGTCGTGCAGCCGGGCACGCAGCAGGCAATGGGCGCCGGCTCAGCCGGCTCAGCCGCCTCGGCGACTGCCTCCTCGTCGCCGGCCTCGCCGCTACTGTTGTAGATCACCTTGACGCCGCCTGGGAAGCGCGTGGGCACCGCTGACGGCTGGATCAGGCCGCGCTCATCAAAGTCTGTCAACTCGAAGTGGTCCTGCGATGGCGGAGAGTACAGGGTCATTAGGGCGGCAGGTGGTATCCTGAGAATACAAAGCACACCGATGCACGACACAACACACACACACGCACGCACGCACGCACGCACGCACGCACGCATACACACATACACACACACGCACGCACGCACGCACGCACGCGCACGCGCACGCGCACACGCACGCGCACACGCACACGCACAACTTGACGCGTACCACACAGAGGTGTTTCACAAGCTCTGAAGCAGTTGTGTAGGCACATGACAAAATATAATACATTGCATAAAATACAATGATAATCTGTTGTTCACACACTGATACCTAACATGCCACAGCAGAAAACACCAGGGCCGCATCCCGTTACTGCAGTCCGGAACGCCTCCAACGGAGCTGTGTCGTACCTCGCAGAGTAGCTTGAGCTTGGGCTCTGGCGCGTTGATGTCGAGCGTCGGGTATACAGCCTCGAGCACGCTGGTCCAGGCGGCGCGCATCTCGCCCTCCACGGGAAAGGTGCACATGCGGCCGTGGCGCCGGCCACAGCCGGGCACCACGCACGACACGTCCGCCGGGATGGTCATTGGCACGTCTGTCGACAGAGACAAGCACTGACCATGGCTGGACATGGCCTCCTAATGACAACACTCGCTGCACTGTGTCTGCTCCCAAGGGATCAATGGCAACCAGCTGTGCTGTGTCAACCACAGAATGAATGTTAAATTGCACATATCCTTTAGTGTTAACATTTATTTCCACCTACAACTATACATCAGTCCCAGTTGGGTGGACATTGTTGAACTAAGCCATGAAATCCCATCCATTGTTTTCCCACAGAACAGCCAATTGACTGCTATATACTATACCACACATGTGGTAGACTATATGGTTTTGCTTTCTAGAAATAATGCTCAGCATTTTTGTCATCTAAAGTTAACTGGCACTTGCCAATAAGAGAGCCTGCAGGTACTGGCAACAATGTCATAAGCCTGCATGACATAATATTGAATCTTTGTTCTGGGAATTTAAGAACAAGCTGAAGCCAACATTCTCTATTGCCATGAAATGAAACAGCCATGGTGTCAGCATCACACCATATTCAATGAAGAATCATGGTATACAAGCCTTTGGCAACTGTGACTGATAGAAATCTCACAGGGCACATTACATGCATAAGATCATTCCATTTTCTTCCTTGAGTTCAGAGTCTGGACACTCAACGAGCCATGCCCGCAGTGACTCTGGGTTAAAATCAGCCTAAGCAAACTAATCATGAGTAAACAGTTTGACATCATCTACAATGAAAGACAGCCCCATGTTTACCTTCATCTTCCTCTTCCATTGTATGCTCCATGTCATCCTGTGGCATGTCTTGCAATTCAGATGCAGCCATACTCTCCTCATCTTCCTCTTCAGTGAGGATATTTGGCATGCTCTCACTGGGCTGCTTTATTGCCAGCTTCATGGTCTGCAATAATAGAATATAATATATTTGTCTCTAGTTTGTCACAGCATAACTGGTAAGCTTTGCTTATGGCACCTACCTATTCACTTATCCAGTCAGCAACAATATAACAGTGATATAAAACTTATCCTACAGGAGAGTGAAAAGCTGCCTTCATTCTCCAGTGCAGCCCCCATATGGTGTGTCTAAGTTGCTTAGTTGATAATGACTGACCTGAACCTAGAATGTACCAGTACAACCTTAGTGTGCAGTTTTATGAAGCATCCATGCATAATGAATATGTCCAAAGTGTGTTTTATTGTTCATAGTTGGATTTCTTTTTATCACAAGCTGTCCAATGCATGTTTATTATATGTGGTATTAAAAAGATGGTGATGGTGATGCTGATGGTGATGATGATGATGTTACTATGACTCTGTGATAATAAATATTTCAGGGCATTCATTCAGATAAAATGTGATGCTACCTTGACAGCTCTGCTTGCCATGTGCTCTGGGGTGTGGGAGGGGATGATGGGGGGGGGGGGATACAATAAGGTGGATACTTACTTGCCAGTCTGCAAAAACAAGGAAAATTTTGACAAGATTTTGCTGTGGTGGTAATGAGGCAAGGATTAATATTTAGGGCGGGTTGTATACATTTTTGGGAGGGAATTTCTTGAGTAAAGAAGCTCACATTATCTTAGCACGGGTCATGGCATCTTGAGGAAGGCACTGATCTGGGGCAGTATTTAAGCAAAACTGGAAAACACAGAGGTTTGTAAAAAGCAAAGGAGTGATATAACCAAAAGGCCTTCTGACGCATTTCACTTATGCCAGCTCCTGCTGCTTGTGCTGAGCAGGTAAACCAGCCACAAGCAACTCATGCCAATTGCCAAATAGGCCAATGCCAGAATGGCAGCTGTAATACTGTGATATCTTATTGTTTGCACTTTTAATGGAAGTTGCATTCTTAAATGCTGTAACAGTAGTAGCATACAGGTAGCATACAACACCCTGAATGGTTAATTCAGCAACACTTGTCCGTCTTCATAAGATCACGAGGAAAATCTTTGAGGCTGCCCAAGCCATCACATCATCAGCATCTTCCCTAAGAAGAGAGGTTGGCTGCCCCATCTGAGACAGGATAGGACCTGCCCCCAAAATCATGTGGACTTGACTAGCATGCCATTTTCTGCAGCCAGCCAATTAAAGACGGCAAGCATATGCCAAAACAAAATCGTTATGCTGCCAAGGGCCATACCGTGTTCCAGAGACATCTTCTGACCCTGTCCCCCCCCTTCCCCGCCCATTACCGCCGTCCCTATACTGTCAATTCCACACATATGACGACACTTCGGAGCCCGCCTGATAAAGCCGACCGAAAACGCGACGAAATGAAGTAACTCTACAATTTCATGGAAAAGAACGTGGTTATTTACTTACCCTTCGTTGTCAATTCCCCAATGTGTAAAACGTATATGTAAATACAATTCAACTGCGACCTAACGCCGGGGCATGCCCGTCCCCCTTCCAAAACCTACGCACAACCGCCGCGGCACAAACCCGAATAATCTCACCGACGTATGCATCAAAACGACGCCATGATAGTGACGTCAGCATTTCAGGTGGTGTAACAAGAACTAGCGCTTATGATTGCATTGTTTTGCATAGAAAACGCTTTTTAATATCCATTGGAAGTATTGATTTAATCAACGGCCGAAAAATCGTCGCATTTCCTGGACCATTCTTTTGGAAAACTTATCACTTTCGATGTGCTATTATTCTTTTACGTCATAAGATGGCGGCCTGTCCGCGATCGTGAGGGCGAGGATCGGGGCGCGAGTCCCCAGCGGCGTGTTGTGGTAAACATCACGGATTGGTGGTAAGTGTGGGCCCCGCGTCGTTGAATCGGTGAGCATTTCTTCAGCAGGCTTTATTACAACTTTCACTGTTCAAAGTTAGCTCGGCCTGAGGGAAAGATTAGGTTTTCCTGTATTGTAGTTAGGAACTTGGAGCTTACCTATTACGTGCCTGGTTTTCTGCATAGGCTCTGCGGAAGAAAATGGGTTGAGTTAAAAGAGGTCGGGTTATGATGTGACGTGGTAGATGCAGTCATTACAATCCAGTCGGGTTTTGCTATCTGCAGCTCCATGGTTTGGTGCAGTAAATTGGTGGTGTGAGTTATCCAATTGTGCTTGCTTTTACATTTTCATCACGGGCTCATGGAACAAGTTGCCATTGAGTTGGAGGAAACCAGTGTAAGGCTGCTAATGTATGTCTAATATAGCTTTAAGAAAGTGGTACATAGTAGGCTAAAACATTTGAAAGGCTAAGTTACTGAGTCTCAATGTGGGGCAGATGTTACATTAAAGAAATGGTACCTCTTGTACATGGGAGATTTGTGCAAAATTGGGTTTGTTGGCAAATGCTGAATGACATTCCAAATTGTATTTTCAACTAGATTTGGTCACTTTACTGCACTCTTGCTTTTATCTTAATGCTACATCATGTTTTAGCCATTTGAGCCTGACCCTTTATGTCTTATAACAAATATTGTGACATCTTAAGACAGGATGCTGATTTTACACAATCAGTTGCAGTTTGTTCATGCCAATGTTAGCGGGGATTCTCATTTTTTGCATTTTGTCATTGTGATTTCTTGTGCACTTGCCTTTTGAAAGATCATCATGTTTTCTTTGTGAGTTCTTCAGAAGAGAATGGCCATGCCCAGATTTGTTATTTTTCAAAGAGTTAATCTATGATGTGTGTGTTGGAGGGGGGGGGGGGCAAAGCAATAATCCTGAGGATGCAAAAAGCTGAGAGGCATAGAGCCTTTTAGAAAATATCAGATTGGTCTCAGTAAAACTTTGCAGTTGGTTTTAAGTTCTGTTTTTTCCAGGCTGGTATCTAGCCCCACCAGCCCAGCTAGGTAAAATATCAGTTTTTGATATAAATTGATTATTTCAGCTTTACATGACAGTGTTGAGAAAACCATGTAATTTGTCTGTATGAACTCATCTGATGTGTTCCTGTCAATTTTCAGTATATTATCACATGCTTTTTGTTCTGAGGAAATGTTGATATCAGGGGTATGTGAATGTCACAGTGTGCCAGCTAGTGATTGGCAGGTTGTTTGTTTTATCAGTGCCACTCATGTACTGTGTTGGGATTCCAGGGATGCATTATGTGCAGTTCAATGGACATGTTTTGCACACACAGATGGGAATGCTATGTTTCCAAATTATCATGTGTTTTCTATGTACATAGAAATTTTCATATCAAATTGACAATCCATTCTACAATATTTTATTCAAATGTGGCAGACAACCAGCTGCCTGTGCTAGCTAAAGATTTGCTATGCAGCATTCCCACAAAACATGTTACTCAGAACTCAGTTGAACAATTTGAAGATAAGCTCTAGCCCAACAGCAATAATTTGAAAATGATTGCTTGGCATGTCAGGGAGATATTGGAGCAACTCTAGAGGGGTCATATTATTGCCCACATAACAGCCAGTGAGAAAGAGGCACCAGTTGTACTAGTGAGATGTTGCTAGTACTGCATGAGTGACAGCATGCCCTGTGCACCTAATGTATATAGGGTGTATTTTCAGTTGCGGAACATGGTGAACAGATTATTATTTGGTGCCAAATAGCATGTCTGAAGTATTAAAAACCTGGCCTGTGCTGGCCAATAGATATTCTTTATCAAACTCCTTAGTACTAAGATCTGGTGGGACAAACCAATGCTTCTCCTTTTTTCACTGAAATGTGGCATGTAACATGTGTTTTGTAATCCACTTCAACAGGCATATCAATGGTTAGGCACCCATCTTGAAAAAATGGATGAAACATGCAACTAAATCAAATGGCTTCAAGCTTGGAATATAGTGGGTGCATTTCTTTCTCCACACAAACAGAAACATGCTCCCATTCGTCACTGGTGATCACAAGTCTTGTAAAGCGGTGAAGCGACCCACTCCCATGCCCCTAATGTAAGGTGCGGGTTAGTCAAAATCTGTGGATAAAAACAAAGATTTGGGGAAAAGAGGAAGTTGCTTGCTAAATGTGATGCTGCTGTATGCATCTGCTTTTACTCACGCTTCTGGTCTGCCGAAAACGCAAAGTTCTGCTGTCTTGATTGTGTTGTGATGAGCTGTATATGCTTCAGGCATGGTCATGCAAATTCATGCCACTCCTCTTCGTCGATCGCGAGATCTGACGCTTCTGCCACCACTGAGACCGGCCTCTCCGCAGCCTGAGTGTTTGCAGGAAGTTTTTTTCCATTTTAAGGTGGACGTCCAGGTGCTTTATCAGTGGCAACCCTGTCACCAGCTCTGTGTCCTGGTTGAATAACTGGCCATAATCTGTGATAGCGAGGTTCACAACCAGCAGAGTGAGCAGGCAGACATCTTCCTGCAGCTCAAGGTGGCATTTCTGGACATGTTTTATGGCATGGGCTCCGATCTCTGCATCCTTTTCACTCATCACCGCCAAAAACACAGTCGAGGGATGAAACTAGCACTTATCCCTCTCCATGGAAGACTTTAATCTTTTTCATGTAGTTTGGGAGAGACTCAGGAGCTGCAGAAAATGTTGAATGTTCTCTGACTCACTGACGTAAACACCTGCCGCGGTCTCTTTGCGGAGCGCTTCCGTGAATGACCGTCCCAGTTGTCACGTCACGCCGTCGACCTTGCTGAACAGCTGCCGCATATTATGTGCGTTTGCATGCGGGTGGCAAGTGAGCCATTAAACAGGTATGTCATTGACCCGCTTCAACAGCCGGCAGATACCGCTACAGAGAGCAGCGTTTATCAACGTACCATCACACCCAGAAAAAGTCAGGTATCCACCATGCTCGCAGGATGTTGCCTGGTTTCATTGAAGTGGTCTGTGACAAGGAAATAAGCTAATGGGCTTAACAAACAGGGAGGTTAAGTGTCCATTGTATTATCCACAAAGCTCGGCTATCGCATTCAAGAGGTCTTCGTGATCTCCTGCGCTTACATGGGTGAGATCCCTGCAACCGTCAAAGTATAGTGAAGCCGGGGCCAAAATGCGTTGACGATTGGCTCTGGTCTGCGGTTCCCCGTTTTTTTTTCTTCCAGAGTTTTCTCTTGCTCGGAACACGATTTTGAAGAAAAAAATGGAGAGCTTTTAACTTCCGTGTTGGGTTTATCTACGTTTTCCGGTTCAAGTCTAAAAAGGGTAATTTTCAAACGGTCGCATCGAGGAAAGTGTCCATCACGGATCCAAAATTTAACGGGGGATAAACCATAAGGACGGCTACATTTCACACCCAGTATGCTAAAAACTTATGAGCAGTGCATAGACACTAGATTGCTTAATATTTCAAGATTGTTATTTTAAAGAAAGACGACGATTTTGATCTTAAAATCAGCATTATTTTGGGACTTTCCATACCTTCCTACTTTTCAATACGTGAAAAATGTGGGTATTTCATACCGACTCATCCAGCGAGCACCAATCTGGTACTCCCAGGCTAGCCGCCGCTGTACCCAGTGTCGCCTCCCCCTAGCATCGGGTGCCCGACGCGATCTGAGGCGGCACACGGGGGAGAGTCATTGATTGACATGCATCATGTCTAACTTGAAGGAGGATATGCTTTAAACAAACAAACAAACACGTTCAGTACATCGGAATGTGTAAAGGGGTCGTGAAATACACTGCTTATGTACTGTCTAGATGACACGAGTTTGCAAGGGATATTGTTTAGCACCATCATACACTTGTTCGTTCGGACTACCCGAAATTATGTTTTGTCTTTGGTCATCCGAATTTGAAATAAAGTGTGGGTGCTGCTGGATGTGGAGCCAGGCAAGTGGATGTACAAACATTTCGGTCTTCGGCACCATGTTACAGTCATGCATTCCCAACGTCCTGTCATGAGGCACTTTCAACAAGCACCCAGCCATGTAAAATGTTTCACATAAATTAAAACATGTTTAAGGCGAGCGTTTATTAACATGTCCGGAACAGTAAAGCAAGTCAGGCCCTGGCGAAGTTGCGTACACTTCCAGATGTTTGTCGCTGGTCGTCTTGTCGATGTAGTAGTCACTCATGTATAAGACAGTAGTAATGGGTTTATTCCTCGCAGAATAACCAGGAAAATGGAGAGAAAGATGCGTTGATATTGTAGCAGCATGGCTCTATCGAAACACATATCAGCGATAAATTCAGAATTGCCCGCCGATCCTTCTCGATAATGCAGCCCTTTTTTGAACATTCAGACGCAGTTTTTACAGATCACCAACATTGAGGGGATGAAACAAGGACCAATTGATAGCCATTACTGCCGCGATACAGTGCTCATCTAATATTAAGAGTACGCGAATAGTACGTGCGCATGCAACCGAATTCAAATAAACCGGCATTGCGCACTACGCTTCACCCAAACTTTCAAGCGAATTCAACTAGGCATGCATCACGTATCACGCATCATTTATACATGCAAACAAGTTAAGTTAAATAGGCATGCAGCATCACGCGTCAGGCAGCACTCATGCACGTAAACGATTGTAAGCTAGCACGCATCACACATTAAGGCGCTCGTCGCATTCGCATAATCGGCCGTGGTGAGCCGTTTTATGAGACTTATTTTTACACTAGACACTAGACTCACTTATTTACCTGTCTGAATGGTCCTGTGCTGTGTAGATGACTTAGGTCTTTACTGCACTTTGAGGAGTATAGGGTCCATACTTCCCGGGATGTGAGCCTGAGTTTATTTGTGTTGCCAAAAAGTGGTCGCGTAAGGGGGTGTCCCTGTTTTATTTTTAGCGACCCGCATGTGTTCATTATCTCAAACGAACCCGTCGTCCGACAGCAAGTGTTCCCTCCTCCTACCACCCATCCCTCC